AAGTGCGTGTACTGGAGAGTGTTGCTCACATGTTTGTGAAGCACTCATTTTCTCAGATATATGACAATTACTGATATATCTTGTAATGCGATTCCTTCTTTTGCATTTTCTTCTGAGCATTTGAATTACCATGTCTTATACTTTGTTGTTAAAAAGGATAGAGGGTAGTTAGAAATTTTGAAAACATATGTTTTCATCTCTATTTTCTAGGAAATTAAAAAGAGAAGACAACTTCTTATTCCCTTACAAACATTACATTACTTATAGTGCAATCTTGAAACGAAGATCTGGTCCCAAGTTTGTGTAAAATAACTAGAAATCACTGCACGCTATTAGGTAGCCAACTAAACTTTAACACGTGCATCGCACGTGCGCCACTAGTATATATATATAAACAAATCTCAAACAAGAAAAAGTTGAACTCTAGCATTTGATTGCAGACTTCATATTCGACTAGACTTGCGATCATTTATGGACTAAAATAATTACAAACCCAAAAAAAGGAAAAAAATTTGGAACTCTTTCCTATGATCATAAAGAGCATGCATGACTAGATCGGATGTAGCACGTTATTAGACTTTTGTCATGCTAGGTCATCGGACCTAAACAGCCCAATATTTTTTGACACTTAATACTATTTTTTTAAAATTCATTTTGACATTATTAGAGTGTGTTTGGTTATCTTTATTCTTCCTGGAAAGTGTTATTTATAACCCAAACTTCTATTTTTGATGTGTGTGATTGACCAATTTTTCTGTGAAAAATATTTTTCAACTTTTGATCATGTGACCATATTTCCCTCAAAAATAAGAAAAATATATTCTCTACGGATGTGTGGTTTTTATTTTTCAAATAATTCATTTCCTCTCTCTCACTCTCTTTCTCATCTATCAACTCATTCAATTACCTACCAATAAAAATGAACAAATATAATATTTTTTAAATTGAAAATTAAATCAATGAAACACATTTAATTAGTAATTTCTAGACAATTAAATTGTCTGAAATTTATTTTATTTTCGCGCTCTGAATCAAACGCACCCTTGACATTATTCATTTCCTTATTCTAGGAAGCCAGTCTTACTTAGAATGTCATTCCTCAACTTGCTGAGGTCTCTTCCTTTGAGTGTCCTTCCAACTCCTTCAAACATAGAGAAAGCTGTTTGATTCCCAGCGATTCGTCTGGCCAAATATTCGTGTGGCGGCACCACTTCACCGCCGTCCTCCTCCTCATCAGCCTCAAAATTAGCAAATTTACTATTCAAACTCTTGGACCACTCAGGGATGTCCACAGGGGCTGATGAAAGGTGCAAAACCACGGTGGGCTCCTGGTATACTCCGCCGACCCAGGTGTCTCTTTGAATGGCTCTTGGAGCCGCTACTTCCGCCGTGGGTAGTCTCTTTTTTCTCATCTTTGAGTTTGAACTTGAACCTTCTCTCTTATTCAACAAATCCCACATTTCCTCTTCTTGAAGATCATCTTTGGATTCTGTTTTACAGCCATTGATGCTTAGCCGCATGAAGCTACCATGCAAATCTTCCATGGTTTGGTGCTTAAAAGTAGGTTTTTTTAGTTGGTTTTTTCCAATGTGCATCTCTACTTTCTTTAATCAAAACAAAGTCGGGATCAGAATTCAAAAGCTGGAAGTGCAACAAATCCCACCTCTCTTTGTATATTAAGATAAAGGTGGTGTTAGTTGGATTGAAATGTCAACTTTTCTAGGGACTAATGAGAGTAAATAGGGTGTATTTAATGTAAAATATTATCAAGGATCCACCCTGCTTTTGGGTTATGTACATCTTTAAAAAAAAAGGGTAGGGTGGTTTTTCTCACAGTCCAAAGTTGAAATAAGTCATTGAATGAAGGCCCTCACTTTTGAATATTGATGACTCACAACTGAAAGATTGAAGAATCAACCTATATTTACCTAAATAATGAACTCTTGCAACAACGTAATCTTAGACAAAGCCCTGTTTCATGTTCATTATTTCATCAAAATTCGTTGTGTAATAGTGATTTTTTGGGGAACGTGTGATTAAGAAAAAAGGAAAAAAAATTAAATTTACGTGTAAAATATTTTATTGTGAGAATTTGTAGTTTAAAATAAGTTCGAGAAAAAAATGAATTTTGAAATTGGAGCTATAGGAGTTCACATTCGGTACAGAAGATAAGCACTATCGACATTTGACAATTTTCCACAGTAAAATTAAACAACGAGTCATTTCCAATTTCTAACAAAGATATTGGATAATGAATGAGTGGGTGCACTCACCAAAATTAGTGCTAAACACCACTGATGGACATAGAATTACTGTTTTGAAGAATTCAAATCCTATATTTACACACATTTAATTAAAATTAATGATATTCATCCTCATGAGTAATGATCACGAGTCTTGGTGCTCGTGAGTCGTTATTCATTGTCCAATTAATAATGCTATATAGCATAAGAGAAATGATGTTCATCCCCACTGGAGATGCATCCCCAGTTTATGTGGCGTTAATGTGACATTAAATGATAGGTGATATTAAATAATTCATTTAATTTCACCTATCATTTAACCAATCATTTACATCTACATAAACTGGTGATGCATCCCCACTGTGGATGAATAATATTTTTCATAGCATAAATAATGTTAAAATATTGATTTACGTGATAATACATAACATATCATCGCTATTAATGATGAATAACATTATTCTTTTCAAAAGCATTGCAAAGGGGTGCAAATGGTATGAATTTATAAGCATGTTCGTTAAGATTAAAATTTTTATTCACTTAAACTTAAATAAGTTATTTCCAACTAATAATTTTCTTGACCTAAAGACATAGCCCTTGTTTGTTTTTGCTAAAAAAATAAATATTTTGTAAATTTCGATAAAAATTGATAAAAAAAATATGGTTGAAAATTTGAGAAAATCATTAATTTTATGAGATACGTGATTAAAAATGAATCTTAAAAAAATAAGTTCTAAAAAATTTTGGTCGAGATTTGACTTTATGGTAGGCAAATCCTCGTGCAGAAATTGGGAGAATTCTGAAACATGATTTGACAGAATGGCATGTCAATAGGTAGCAAGTGGTTCACTTACATGAACCGTGCTGCAGCAACAGAAAAGGAGCCAACCGAAGCTCTGACCGACTCTCACAATAGGGGGTGGGGTCCACTTTTTTTTGCAATTTTTTATTCATGTGGGGTCGGCTCAATGTGAGGGTAGGTCAGAGCCTCTGTCATTTTTTTTCTGGCAGTGAAGCATTTTTCCACTTACATTGAGTAGTAGTACAAAAAGAGGTGCGGTCCAAGTAAGAAATGGACAAATATCAGCAAGTCATATACTATTAGTGCTTGTTTGGGAGGGATTTTTAGGGGAAGAATTGATTTTGAATAGTGATATGATGGGAAATGTGTGGTTGAAAAAGAAGAAAAAATTATTGATGTGATGGAAAATATTATTTTATTGAAGAATGTGTGGTTGAAAATGAGAATTGATTTTAATTATTTTGAATAGTGATATGATGGGAAATGTGTGGTTGAAAAAGAAGAAAAAATTATTGATGTGATGGAAAATATTATTTTATTGAAAAATGTGTGGTTGAAAATGAGAATTGATTTACTGTAAAATTTTGAGAATTTATCCTTTTTTATTCAAACTGCCCAAAACACGCGTTCATTTTCATTTGAGAGCATGTTTGGTTAAACTTAAAATTCAATTAAAATTGAAAATATAGCTGTTACTGGGTCTCACTCGTCTAATAAAAGTCAACAATAACGATTAATTTTTCAATTTTAATTCGATTTTAATCTCTATGCTTGTGCGGGACTCAACTATTCTAAACAAGTCGACCCATCCAATAAGATATATTAAACGGTAGATAATATTAAAAAATGCTTAATATCTCATTAATTTTACAATGTAATTATGTCCAAAATATATTAAGGGATTATTATCTTTAAATACAAAATATAATTAATTTTTAAGGACTGGATTACTATTGATCTTTTAGGATAGAACCCCAAATTTTAATACTCATTACACTCCAACGATTTCAGACTTTAAGATTGGTGTGCTCCAACGAATCTCATATTGTGGGGACATGTTAAGAAAAGACGAAAAATTTACAGGTTGTCAAAACTCACTATAAGAAATTTTTTAATATTTATATAAAATTTCACTCACCCAAAGCTTCCAAGTATTGTAGGAAAAAAAACCCCTAAACTTCACCACCCTCACAAAATTTCTTCTCTTTCAATAACCCACAAAATGGATTTGAATCTAGATTACATGGAACATGGAAACCAATATTCATATTTTGAATCTTATCTCTTATTTGCAATAGGACTCTTAATTTGATAATTTTAAGGCATCAATCCTAACAATAAATCAATAAATAAGAAATTTGGACTAATTCTTTTAACTATGTCTTAATATCTGGGAATGACAATTTGTAGACTATCTTTTCCTTATAAAGATGACTGTTTCATAGTGGGTTTTTTTCTTTAATATATTTTGATAAAAGTTAATGAATATATACTTGAAAAATTGATAAAAAATGTGAATTCCATAAAATATCTGATTGAAAATGAGATTGTGTATATATCCAACGTGCCTCTTGCTCAACCATTAATGTTCATGTAGCTTTTGTCAACTTCTCTTTAAAGAAAAAGAGAAGCAGCGAGAGTGGACTTTCTTCTACATTAATGGTCGAGTTTTCCACTTGATATGCTTCCCAAACCCCAATCTTGTCACAAGCTTTTAGTCACAAAACTATCATTACACTCAAATTAAGAAGTTTTTGTGGTCATTAGAAATAGTATGATACTATGGCAAATTTTGTTATCTTTTAGCCAAATTATACAAAAAATAGCCGAGCCGGTTGGATAGCTAGCTAGGAACACCTAGCCCAACTTTGACACAGGCTATGGTGAGCAGGGGCGGACGCAGAAGTTTAAAGTTAGGGTGGGCACAATCGAACTTACAAAGAAATTGAGAAAAATTTTACGTTCAAAAAAATCACACCCCATATAATTTTGCATCCGAAAATTTACATGTGATATGACATTTTCAGATGTAAAATTTTGAAAAACATTTATGTCATATTTCATATAATATTTCCTAATAAAATGATGAAAATTATATTGAGAAATTTGTATCGCAAAAATAATAAATGTTAATGAAATAATTGAATTTTTTAAAAAAATGTGAGTTAGACGTCTTTTTTTAAAACTNGTCGAAAATTTTTTAAAGCTAGCATGTTATCGAAATTTTTGAAATACTAATTTTGAACGGCTTACTTTGACAAGTCGTAGCATTTGCTATGATTGATTGTTTCGTACGCCATTAACGACGTAGAAAACTAGACCGTGAACACTTCGAAATGGTATTAAAAATGCAATCTTTCGCCCTCGTTTGATGGAGAGTTAATATTTTGTTAAAAGATGAGAAAATAAGAGAAAAATTAAAATTTCTTGTGATTGTGCCCCTAATTGATGGAGATTAAAATCAATTTTTTAGTAAATTTTGATAAAAGTTAAATAGTTATGGATTCCATGAAATATGTTATTAAAATTAATTGTTAACTTTGATTTAGATTAAAATTTATATTTCAATCGATATCAAAAAAGACTTTATATATATTAAAAAAAAAAAGACTCAAAAGTTGGGGGGCACGTGCCCCCAGGACCCCTCCGGGTCCGTCCTTGATGGTGAGTGTAAAAGTACATTGGGTAGTTGAATCCTCAAGTTTATCTTCTCGATATGTTCGACAGAGTAGTTAATCACTATCAATAATTTATTCTCCGTCGCATCCACGATTCTACCACATGTTACTGATGCAAAGAGATTAACATGTATGGCTTCGAAGAGAATAGGTTTACTTGCAGTAAACAAGAGAGTCTAAGAGTTAACTCAGTCATAGTCACAAGTTTGCCAAGAGAAATTTTGGTGAGGAGAAAATACCTAATTGACAAAATTGTAGGTAATGACCATGGTCGGAGAAAAAAAAGGAGTAAATTAGGTTTGAGCTCCCTATCTTTTCACACAGTCTGAGTATGGATCTTCAACCTTCAAAAGTAAGATTTCGAGTTCCCAACCTATTTAAATTAGTAAATTTTGGATCCCTGCCTGATGAAAATGTCAATATGGATGTTAAAATCACAAACGGTTTTTAACCAATTGCATTCTATCCCTTTTCCTTTATCTTTTTATGTTTGGCAATATTTTGATAAGCTTTTGTTGAATCCTTATAGTCTTCATCCATTATGCATATTTTACAGAATCAAAATTTCCTTGTGTATTCGTGTTAAATATAGTGATTTCCATGGAAAGATGGGAATGGAGAGAGTATGTATCTGAACTATTCAAATGACGTAATGAAGTTGTGGTTACCGCAATGCTCCCAACAGTTGCAATATATCAAGAATCTGAATAGGATCCAGCTCGAATTGCAAGATAGGCGAAAAATCTGTTGTTTTAGTCGTTTCAACATCTCCCTCTCCTGTCAACTTCCCAGCCTCTAGTGCTCCTCAATTTGGCTGCAGTCACAAGCCCCCAAGCTTAATAGCCTCAGTGATTTTCTGCCTGTTCTTGACAGAACCAACACATTAACGATGCTTGTGAAGTCCACGCTGAACTGGGTATCAGATGATGATCACGAGGGGCTTGAAGAGGTTGAACCAAAGGGCCGAGGAGTGCAGAAGAATCAGAGAGGGAAGGTTTTGCTCTTTACATTGTCTTTCTGTATATTATCTTCCCGAACCCAAAGGGTGAAGCAAATCGAAGTAAGTTGATCGAAAGAATATAACATCTTTAAGACCAACACAAGTAGAGAGTTATTTAAGTTGGGAACTTCTATCCCATGTTCAAATTGGAAGTCAAAAATATATTTTTTATTTTTTTTTCCCACAAAATGTAAGAAGATTGACGTCCCAAATTGGCATTCTTTCCCAAATGCATGAGTAAAAAACATTGTACCGCACTACCTAGATCGATCCTCAACTCTTGTAACCCTAGTCATCACTACATTTTAGCAAAATGGAAGAAAAAAGAGCTTGACATAACATGTGATTGGCAACTAAGCTTTGAGAGTCAAACTCAACGCGATTTTCTTGTCTAGACAAATCAAGTTTCAGTTGACCATCCCTCTAACTCATAGAGCATGGGCGGATGGATGTAAGAGAAAACAAAAGGCAAATATAAATATATTGAAGTCTGTATAGTAGAAATATATTTATTTTTCATTTAAATGCCGTTAAAAAAGAGAGGAAATTGGAGAATGTGTCCATTTTTAAAGATACATTTGGAAAATGATGAATATTTGCAAGTTTTGGGACAACGGCCATTTTTTGGAAAAATAGACAAAAATATCCTTAACAATTACCCAATCACTAGTTACATCCAAAATCCTTCTACTTTCCCTAGACATTTTCCGAATCATCGGCATCTCCACCACCACCCACTTCTTCTTCTACACCTTCACCATCACTCGACATTTGATTGTTGAGATCTGAGCAACTAAATGTCAAGGGGGTAAAAACTTAATGGAAGAACTTAAAACCCAAAATTCGTGGTAAACAGTCCATTGAGATTTTTGAAAACTTTGATCTAACAAAAATTAATTCACATGAGATGAGGGATAAATATACATACTAGTTCAATTTCAATTATAGCACCGTAAATATTTTTATATATAGACAATAGACAGATATTGCACTAGCATTTTACAAATTTGAGAGGTGGTGGTAGTATAGCAGAGTTGAGATTTGAGGAGTGGTGGTGTACGTTTTTTGTGTTGAGGTGGTTGCCAAAATTGAAGTCAAGGGATTACAATTTTTTTCTTTTTTCAATGGATAGAGAAGAAAAAATAGACTTGAGCAGCCCTGGGCTAGAGCCAAGGTTGTCCCTATCTCCATCCTCGGTGGTACGCGCAAGTGGTTGTTTACGTTGGCGGATTTTTGGATTTGGCGTTTTAGGCAGATGATTTTCGAAATGGTGCTCTTGGATTGGTTGTTGTGCTGCTCGATTGAGACCCGGTGGTGGTGCTTATGTTAGGAGATGATGGTGGTGAGGAGATGAGCTTTGTAGTTTTTTGGTTGTCGTGGCGTGACATGGTTATGGCATTAGGTGTAATGGATTTTAAAATTTGGCGCATATTTATTTGAATTTTGATATATTTTAAGAAATACAGTTCACCATCTTTTATCAGAATCTACTAAAATCTAATTTTAATATGAACAAGACATACAACGTTTAAGAAAATGATCATTTTCCAAAATGCACAATTAAACATGGCTACATTTCCAATTTATCCTAATAAAAAGACAAATCCCTTTTAAAAACCCTTCCGTACAAATTGGGAAAGAACCCTAATTTCTGTCAAAAATCTTCGAAACGCAATTCCTTGGATCTGAAAAACCCCCCTTAAACCCTATCTTCCCCTCACACGCTCGCAAAGGAGGAACAATGGATTTCGAGAAGCGGAAGGCGGTGACCCTCGCGGCCATGACCTCGCCGGAGCCCGACAAGTCCCCCAAAGGCAACATTGACACCCCCATAATTCCTCTCTTAACTACCATTAATTCCCACCCCTCTTACTTCACCACCAGCTCTTGCTCCGGCCGCATCTCTATTCTAGCCCAACCGATAGCCGCCGCCGCCGCCGCCACCGCCACTGCCACCGTCAAGAAAAAGGCCAAGGGAGGCACCTGGGTCTTCATCTCCCACGACCCAGTTCCTCCTTTCTCCATCCTCCCCCTTCTCTTCTCATCCTCTTCCAATGAGTCTCCACCCCGAATCGCCACCGAGTCAGACAACATTTTGTTGCAGAGCCTTGTGTTCAGGTTTGAGCCTTTGATCATTGCTGTTGAGTGCAAGGACATAGAGGCGGCTCAGTCTTTGATTTCTTTGGCAATTTCTTGTGGGTTCAGAGAGAGTGGAGTAACAAGTGCGAGTAAAAGAGTCATCATTGCAATACGGTGCTCGATACGATTGGAGGTTCCACTGGGAGACACGCTGAAGCTTATGGTGTCCCCAGAATATGTGGAGTACCTTGTTGGGGTTGCTAATGAGAAAATGGAGGCCAACAGGAAAAGAACTGATCTTTTACTGAATTCACTGTTAAAGAACGGATTTTCGAGAGATGGGATTTACATGAATGGTAAAATTGATAATGATGGTGGTGATATATGTCGTGGGAATCAAAAGGTTGCCTCTCAAGGAAATCCTCTTGGTGATAATGGTGTGGAGGAAGATTTGGATTTTGAAAAGAAAGATTTTGATGACATCCATTGTGGTACGTCATACTTTCTTCTAGTTTTTCAATCAATACCAGTGGATGGAAGATGTTCTCTATAGGAATATAACATGATTTGTCACATATAAATAGTCAACATATTCTTTTCTAAAGCTACTCTGGCTAAACTGAACTGTGTAGTAGGCACTTTAAAAGTGGTGATTGTTGACTACATGGCATAATACTCTTGGATGGAATACGTACTCAACAGCGTTTTAACATGATTCATATGGTATCGTGTAATCAGAAACATGTATAATCATATAAAAATTTACACTTACAATGAATTGATGTAAGTGCACGAAGAGATTGCTAGTGCAGTTATGTACTAATATATGTTTGGATGCAGGCGTATTTTCCCTTAAATGTGACTGCAAGTTTGAATCTTAAATCATTGACAGGATCACAGAAAGTCCGAGGCATCAATCTATCCGTTATAGAGATAATTGGTGAACCTGTCGAGAGGCTTTTCCTGTGGGGTCACTCTGGCTGCACAGTGGACCAACAGAAGATTCTCATTTTTGCTGGTTTTGGAGGCATTGGAAGACATGCACGTAGAAATGATTTATTGCTTCTTGATCCAGAATGTGGAATGATAGGAGCAGTTAATGTTCAGGGAGCTCCATCTCCACGCATGGGCCACACATCTTCAGTAGTAGGAGAGTTCATGTATGTGATTGGAGGGAGGGCTGATCCATTGAATATTCTGAATGATGTGTGGGTCTTCAATATGGCGAAGAAAGAATGGAATCTGTTAAAATGTTCTGGCAGTCATTTTCCTTCTAGGTGATGTTATAGCATACATACATTTCTATAGATGTTCCCTTTATTTGGCGTGTTCACCTCATCATGCATTCCAGTTTCTATTCCTCTCCTGCATATTTAACTTCTAGTGCTTCATTTCCTAACTCTATATGGACAACAAGTTTCTGCATTTCCATTTTATACTCAAAATATAAGAAGGTTTAGGTACTGGACTCTGTTACGACCTTCAGACAGAAAGCAATTTAATCTAATAAATCATAATTCTTTCTTTGATCACCACGTTTTCTCATTTCTATGATAATATTAGTTTAATCATACTCCCAGCTTTCTAGTTTTTGTGCATATAATTTATATTGACGTTTTACAGGCACCGACATGCAGCAGCTGTTGTAGGTTCAAGGATATATGTACATGGGGGAATTTATAATGATGAAATAATATCATCACTCTATGTACTCGATACATATAAGGCTGAGTGGACTGAGATAGAAATTCAGGGGAACTTCCCCTGTCCCCGTCATTCACACTCCATGAACTCATATGGGTCTAATTTATACATGTTTGGTGGATTCAATGGGGAGAAAGCACTTGGGGATCTTCATATTTTTGATGTTCAGACGTGCCTATGGAGTAAGCAAAAGACAAATGGAAAAGCACCTAAAGCTAGGTTTTCACACTCGATGTTTATGTATAAGAACTATCTTGGCATTTTTGGGGGATGTCCTGTAAGTCAGAATCAGGAATTGTCCTTACTTGATCTTCAGTCCCATACTTGGAAGCATATAATGGTGAATTCCATTAATGAAGGCCTCTTTGTTCGTAGTACTGTAAATGTTGTCGGTGATAGTCTAATACTCATTGGTGGTGGGGCATCTTGTTTTGCATTTGGGACAAAGTTCAGCGAACCTATGAAGGTAAACTTGTCGTTATTGACATCCTTAGGTGATCGTTTCATGCCCACAAAAATTGGAGAGGAGCACAAAGATAATCTGGGGGAAGAAACAATAGAGGGAAAAAATGCCGATGTCCAAAATTCACGTAGTACAGCTGAACCAAAAATAAATGGACGTATCAACCAAAATGCCCAGTTTGAAGAACCATCAGTAAAGGTTGGAAGGCAGATGGTTGCCGACCCTTGGGTTCTCCAGCTAGGGAAACGATATGCGAAATTGGTGAAGGACATATTAAAAAGATTTGGATGGTTAGATTTTCAAAGAAAGGTTTATTCTAGGGAGGATGGCATGTATATCTGTTTCCCTGTAACAGAAAAGTTTTGCACTATGTTCGAAGATAGACAAAAGGATCTGGGGGATTCATCTAAAGTGGTAACTGATCTTCATTCACCGAGACCATCTTGTGTGGATATTTTATCAAAAGATATCTCCAATTCAGAGGCTTTAAATCGTATAATAGCATGTGGTGCAACTAAACTTGTGGATGAAGTTGTCAAAATCAAGAAAACTCCAAATACTCCTCACAGAATGATGATGGAAGAGGTAGCCTCGTTGTTAAATAACAGGGGTCTGCCACCAGAACTTCTAGAACAACTGCCATCAAGGTTTTGTATTGTAATCTTTCATTGTTTATGTTAGCTTCATTGGGATAACTATTATACAGTGCCGGATCCTTTCTTTTTACCTTTTCGAAGTAGAACTGGTGGAGCTCTGTCCAGCACCATATTTATTGTAGTTTAACAGCTCTCATTTGTCTCAGATGGGAGCGGCTGGGAGATATTGTTGTACTTCCTGTAACGTCCTTTAAGGATCCATTGTGGGGCTCAATTGGCAAGGAGCTTTGGCCTCTCGTGGCAAAATCACTTGGGGCTCTTCGCCTCGCACGGCAAGTAAGCATTAGTTGTAGAACTTCATCTAGTTTTATGCTATGTGATTAAAAGTTCACAATTATCCATGCGATCAACAATTTTCTCGAGTTCTTGTCGCTTAGTTTCTATTAGAGACGATAGTGATTTCCGTTTGGCAACCAATTTATAAATGATTTATAAGTTCAGTCAAAGTCAAACATTAATTTTAACAACACATTCATAGTTACTATTCATTTATTATCTACAGATTTGGTGGTCCCACCACTGTTCATCTTTATTAGTCGATTAATAAATTTTCCAAACGGAGGCTTAGTGAACTTATAAATTTGAGGGTGTCGATTAATGGTATACTGATAAATCTAGGGCCAAATTGCACAAACTGGGACAAGGGACAGTAAATTAGAGATTCTTGTTGGAGATGATGGCTGGGTTGACCACCGTGAAAATGGGATCCTCTATTCTTTTGATGCCACCAAGTGCATGTTCTCTTGGGGTAATCTTTCAGAGAAACTACGGATGGGCTTTCTTGACTGTAGAAATGAAGTGATCGTCGATTTGTTCTCTGGCATTGGATATTTTACTCTGCCTTTCCTTGTTAGGTGTAGTTTTTCATTTTTAAAGCTTCCTCGTCTTGATACTTGAGCCTTTTTCTTTGGCAATAATTTTTGTGTTGATACTGTTGATTATCAGGGCCAATGCCAAATTTGTGTATTCTTGTGAGTGGAATCCACATGCTGTTGAGGCATTACATCGTAATCTACAAGCTAATTCTGTGGCTGATCGTTGCATCATACTGGAAGGAGATAATAGAGTTACAGCTCCAAAGGTATGTTAGTTTGTCTTTACAAAGTTACTAATTTGCTTTCTTGACCTTATTATATATTTGCAACAGGGAGTTGCCGATCGAGTCTGCCTTGGTCTCTTGCCAACAAGTGAAGGAAGTTGGGTTACTGCAGTGAGAGCATTAAGGTGTGTTATATGTCCTAGAAGCATGTTTGGCTAAATCATTTTTTTCTTACTTTTAGTAGAAAAAGTCACATTTTGAAAGTAACTCTTAATGCTTGCTTGGCTAAGCTTTTAAGTGCTTATAAGCAATATGTCCCAAATAATATGTGGTTAAAATGTAGATTAAAGTTGTGGTTACTAAGGAATGTGTGGTTAAAAATGATGTTTGTCTAGCTTATGTTTGAAAAATCTTTGCCAAACATGCTCTACTGTGCTTGAATTAAGTTGTTTGTGCTCTCATTTTGACAAGTTTTTGAATCTCCCCTGCTGAAAATTGCAGACAGGAGGGTGGAATGTTACACATACACGGTAATGCCAAGGACTCAGAGGAAGGTTCATGGAAAAACCATGTCTTGCAATCCATTATTGACATTGCTAGATCAGAAGGTACGTCTTCATTAACTATTTGCTTAAACTCTCTCATTCTACTAACATCCATGCAAAACAATCTTGAAATACAAAACCAAGTGGAATATGGCTACTTTCAGGTTATCACTGGGTGGTCTCGATAGAACATGTTGAAAGAGTAAAATGGTATGCTCCCCACATACGCCATCTTGTTGTAGATGTGAGATGCAAACAAACTCAAGGGTTAAGGCTTGGAACAGAACAAAAATAGCAGCATACTTGTTAGGTATGCATTGCAGGACATATGACCTCCCATGTAACTTCTTTTTTTTCATTTCTTTCTTCTTTGATATCGTTCAATATTATCCCATCTACCTCACTAAACATGCCATTGCCATGCAGGCTTGAATTATACGCGAAAAGCATGGTTCTTCCCTCAGACAAGCCTCGAAAATTCTCATACAGCATTTAAAATCCTGCTGCCACTTGCAGTGTTCTGGCAAATTAGCGGGTTCAAAACGGATTACCCCATCAAAAATGACTAGTATCAGAACATGGCGGTATCACAAATTTTGTAGAAATCTATGAATTAGTGCTTAAAAGTTTTCTTGTGGAGATAAAAGTTATACTTGATTGTCTTGATTACTCTAATGAATATTGTTGAGTGATTTATTGAGTGAATATTTTCTAATTTAGTCTGGAACTGTTGTATCACCTTGCTGAATAAAATACCTGGTGGCTGGCACTGTATTGAAGTGAACCTCATTTGCTCGTGTATAAATGCTGTACAAATTTCATGCTCCAATCTTGTGATGATTCTGGTCCATGTCCGAGTGTAAGATGGATTGTGCAGTTCAAGTACAACACTTGCTGGGCCTGATTCCTACTGGTCCCAGCTGACATGGGTTGGCCTGGCACTTCCCATGTTCGTGATAGCGGACCTTATTGTGAGGGAAGATGTATACTGGAGTGTCAACCTCGTTGTAGGAGTAGCAAAACCCTAAATTTTAGGAATAATTCTAGATGTACATAATTTTTGTACATAGAGTGTTACATAACACTCACATGGGGTGGGTCCCACCATGTGAATGGGCTTCATCCCATGTGAGTGTTATTTAACACTCTATGTACAAAAATTATGTACATCTAGCACTTCCCAAATTTTAGACGTTCATGCAGCGAACTAGTTTGAGGTATGACGACTAGTGCTGGCATCAAAGAATTTTTTTTTTTTTTTGCAATTAATTGCTAATTTAATTAAGTGAGTCAACAATGCTTCAGCAATAAAGAAAGGGGGAATTTACAAAAATAGTCAATTACATGCTTGTCAATTAAAAAGTATTTAATTTTGATAGTTCTTGCAAAAATATCCAATTTTTGTATTAAATTGTTTATTATACCCTAAATGAAAAATGAAATAATTTTTTTCAATTTGTCATGAATTTCGAAGAGCAAGTAGTTTCAATGAGAAGTTACATTAATAATAATTAATACCTAATAGATTCATTTGCTTTTATTATCTATTAGGTATTGGTCAAGAATTTGGAAAAAAATGAAGATGATGAAATAGAAAAGTCATTAACACTAAAAAAATAATTATATACTTTCAATTCATACGAAAATCATACAATTTTACTTCGAAAAATTCAATCTCATCCAAATTTACAATTGCTTAAGCTTTCTACAATTCTCGGTAAAAAGTAATTTTTATTTGAAATCTTGTTTTTGTTGATAAGTTGTGTTTAATAGTTGTTATTCTTGACATTTCATGACGTACTCTGACATTTTAAAAGCTATTATCGACATTTGAACTGTGTTTATCTTGACATTTCATTTGTTTAGAACGAGATTTCATTCTGAACATGAGACTTCTCTACATTTTATAATGTTCTTGACATTTTAAGTGTACTTTTCAACATTTCATAAATGTTTTATTTACTTACTTATAAGGAGAAGTGAGCATTCAATGCATGATTGACATTGCACTTTTTAAAATAAGTAGTATATTTTATATTTCAAGTTATTATTGGTCAATATAATTTTTAATTATATAAATAATAATGTCTTCATTGTGGAATTCAAAATTGTCAATGAGGGCATTTTGGTCTATATAATAGTAAAATGGATATTGAAAATTTTTTTTGAACAGTTTTGCAAATAACAAAAGTGGACATTTTTTACAATTTCCTCTAAAGAAAATCACTTATCCCAAATTGCTGGATCTCGAGGCACATTGAGGGGTTTCATCCAAATTAATATTATTATATGGGTTTTTTTTTTTTAGGAATTAAATATAAAGAAATAGTCAGTAATTGAATGAAGTTGACGTTTCTTTCTTCATTTGTCTTAATACAATTTGGGAATTAAATATAAAGAAATAGTCAGTAATTGAATGAAGTTGACGTTTCTTTCTTCATTTGTTTTAATACAATTTGGGAATTAAATATAAAGAAATAGTCAGGAATTGAATGAAGTTGACGTGTGGTTAGTATCCCAATAAAACTGTCGGTGGTCTCTTGAGAATCCATTTATTTGAAGTTTGAACCAAAGGTTCCTTATCCAGTCCTCGACAGCATTAGTGACATGTTTGTTTCGATTTGATAACATTGTACATTATCATTGATGAAATTTTAATGAAAAACGACGAAAGTAGAGGGAAATTTATAAAGAAATTGAACATAAATTTGAATTCTCAGTCACATGGTGCGGGCCTCATGTATTAAATATTGGAAAAAAAAAAATGTTGCTCCATCCTATACCTATAGCATGGCACAATTTTTATAGATACATACTACAGTATTAGGTGGCGAAGAGTTGATATAGATGTGCCAAATCTTTTTGTCAATGTGAGCTTTTAGGGACGATCAACATATTATGCGTAGATTAACTTAGTGACTAGCTGTGCAACCTACCTTCTCCGTGTTCTTGACAGTTAATCTTTGTCTCAGTAGAATCTTTCAGTGGCATGTTTAAATTCTGATCTTCCCCATCTACTTACTTAAGCATATAATGAATTATTTTTTTAATTGAATGCAAATAAAATAGATTTTGTATACAAAATGCTATAAGAATGGATTTGATCGGTTGGTTTCATTGGTAAAAGCAAGATTCGATCCTCTTTTATGATATTCTTTTTTTTTTTAATATCAGTGTAATTTTTTCGTATCAATGTGTAGGTCGAATATTAAAATATGAATTACACAAAAAGTGTCGGTTTATCATGATAATATGCACAATATTATTAAAGTCTCTATGAAAGCCTAGTTGCTTAATTACTTTGCTTGAATAATTCAAATAAAGTAATAAAATATTAATTCTTTGATAAAGAAAGAAACTTTTGTTGTCATTACATTATTGTTTGGACCATTTGGTGTTTGTCCCTTTATATTATTGTGTCTTGTTTAATGGATGACAATTTCCCATCTAGAAAGCAATCTCAAGTAGAGATGAACACGATTTGATCTGGTTTAGTTCTAATCAGAATTGAATCAAACTGTATATCAATGAATACGATTAGTTCAGTGTGATCCTGATATGATTTAGCCCATGTTTGTCTACCATTTTTACAAACATTATTTTCTATAGTAGACAATCTCAACCATATATTCACTCAATAAAATATTTTACACACAAATCAATAAAGTTATTTTAAATTTTAACCACACATTCTCCAAAAAAAATACTATTCCTTACTCCATTTTCTACGAATAATGGTAGACAAACAAGCTCTTAGAGTATATTTTGCAACTTAGAATGTGTAAAATTACATAAATAGCCTCGACATAGGCAAGTTCCCTCCCAAGAAACTAAGAAAGTTGCGATGAGCAGGTTTCTAAGCTAGGGATATTTAGGGCTATTGAATTTCGATTTTCTTTTCTTTTACTTCAGTTTTCAGTCACAACAATTTTTACTTTATGGTGGTGTCATTATAATGTCACTTTGGAATGAGAAGTGACAAGGACTAACCTATACCTTTTCATTTTCATTTCCTATTTCTATCTCTAATTTTGATTTAGAATATTTTTGGTAATATTATCTTTGTATTGTATAATTAAAGATATATAATTCTTAAAGACATAACTTGCTCGTGAAAGAATATTGAGAAAGTGCGCACAAAATTCTACATGAGTTTGTAGAAAGATTGAGCTACGCTTTTTAATAGATGACACTCTTACTCTTTGATGTGTGGTCAAGTCGAAAATAAATCTCAAACAAATATATTTATCTCCTCTTCAATATTTAAGATTTTTACATAATTATTGAAATGAACTGCTCAGATTTTGGCAGAAGATTAATGTTTGATCTACTTATCAGTAACAGCTTCCCAAACACGGAAGTCAAAAATTAAAAGCAGCTCTCTCTCTCTCTCCCCATTATTTAAGTAGTGGCCAAGTGATCCAAGAGAGTGAACGTATTAGAGTGAGAAAGCATGAGTTCCAGAGGTCTCTTTTTCCTAGTGATCTTCTCTCTTTCAGCCTTGTCTGGTTTTTTAGCAGAAAATGAGGAACCAGCAGGGCTTGTAATGAACTACTACAAAGACACTTGCCCACAAGCTGAAGACATCATTAAAGAACAAGTGAAGCTTCTTTACAAACGCCATAAGAACACTGCTTTTTCTTGGCTCAGAAACATCTTCCATGACTGCTTTGTTGAGGTCCAAATTCATTTTCTTTGCTCCTTTTTACTGTTTAGTTATTTTTGTTCTCGAAAGTATGGATTAGGGCTTAATTCGTAAAGCGTTTTCGCTTATGTTGTGGTGCAGTCATGTGATGCATCTCTATTGCTGGATTCAACAAGGAGGGTTTTGTCTGAGAAGGAGACTGATAGGAGCTTTGGAATGAGAAACTTCAGATACATTGAGACTATAAAGGAGGCTTTAGAGAGGGAATGCCCTGGAGTTGTCTCCTGTTCAGACATTCTTGTCTTGTCTGCAAGAGATGGAATCGTTTCGGTAATCTCGTATTTTCTTTTATTGTGTATAGTCCTGACGAGTACTGATTACTAAAACGGGAGGATTCTGATAACTGTACTTTGGTACATACAGAAATCTACTCTGAGTAGTTGACTCAAATATTAGTCTAATGACACTTCCAAACTGTAAATGTTGAAGTATTTGTTGGAGCTTTTATTTTTCCTTTTGAATTATAAAGTTGGTCTGATTTTTAGTGTCTGTTTGTGGTTCTGATCTGATTATCAGTAGAATTGCAGGCAAAGTAGAATAATAATTTTTTGGAATTTGTAATTTTTTTTTTTTTTTATATTTTTAGCTTGGAGGGCCATACATTCCTCTTAAAACTGGAAGAAGAGATGGTAGAAAAAGCAGAGCAGATATACTTGAGCAATACCTTCCAGACCACAATGAAAGCATGAGTGTTGTTCTTGAGCGGTTTGCCAATATTGGAATCGATGCCCCCGGAGTTGTTGCTTTACTAGGTATAAATTCAGAATTATTATGAAAATTGCGTACGTGTTATTGTTAACCCTCGATAAAAAAGTTTAGTCTGCATGGGGGGCGTGTTGAAGGCTAACAACTAGGAGTGGAAAGAAGTAAAAAAATGTCCTAATACAGCTCCATTTGCTCTTACAGGTGCTCACAGTGTCGGTCGAACCCACTGTGTCAAGCTGGTTCACCGTTTGTATCCAGAGGTGGATCCTGCGCTCAACCCCGACCACGTTGAGCACATACTCCACAAGTGCCCTGATGCAATCCCCGACCCTAAGGCTGTCCAATATGTGAGGAATGACCGTGGCACACCTATGAAACTCGACAACAATTACTATAGGAACATATTGGATAACAAGGGATTGTTGATTGTGGATCATCAACTAGCCACAGACAAAAGGACCAAGCCATTTGTTAAGAAAATGGCCAAGAGCCAGGACTATTTCTTCAAGGAGTTTTCTCGAGCAATCACCATTCTCTCCGAGAACAACCCTCTTACTGGAACACAAGGGGAAATCCGAAAGCAATGCAATCTTTCCAACAAGAACCACTAGAAGCTTTCGTAGAATTCTTGCTCGCAGCCGACCCCAGGGAACACGGCTTAGTTTGTTGTCACCGTAATTTGGCTTCTCACTTTTTGTTCCTTGTGCTAATGAGGGAGAATAGAGTGAGAGAGACAAAAATAAGATGTTTTTTTCATCAGTTGGAGTGTTTTTAGTACAACTAGAATTTGATCGTGGCCATGTTAATGGCTACAAGAAGATGATGTGGGGAATAGGTATGGTGAATGTTGGTGTAAGAATTGATGGTGGAGAAGGTGTATGATGCAAGCTTGAATTGATAATGTTTGTTGAATTCTAAAGGCATGACTCAGCTCACATAATGCTCACCTTATAATGTGTTAGTATAGGTCGCGTAATCCATTTCGTTGGCAAGTATTCCGTCCCTTTCGTTTACAATATTTGTCACTTTATTGCAGTTATTCAACAATTTTTTTTTATTATCGTGTATGCAGGACCATACCGCACAAAACATCAAGAACGAATAGTATTTTGTTTAACACAGAGACACTTGAGTTAGTTTGTGTTCGCGGAAATGGCCATAACTCATAAGGACTAACCTGTTATGGTTTATAAGGTTTAAGGATGAAATTGGAACAAAAACTAGTTTAAGGACTAACCAGGAAAAGCAACACAAGAAAGAAAGAAAATCCCATAAGGGCCCTCAAATAAAGAAAAATTGAAGTACAGAAACTTCATTGGTACATAAAAAGTAAAGATTCCCTTAACCAAGTGTAATTTTATTCATATACATGTCATTTTGTGGAGTATGGGCAGGGCAAGTGTATGATTGTGAGAGAAATAAAAGCCAGTGACTTCCACACGGATTACCAAACTCCGCGTGTCTCCGATATTTTTGAGGGACGAAAGGAGATTTTAACGTATTTTTTCCCCATTACAATTGTTTTGTGCTTATCAAAAAAGTTCCATTACAAGATGCATAGATTGCCTTTCCTCATAAGCACCCTTGAATTCTACAATATTCGGCTGCCCACTCAAATGCTGCATTATATTTTGTAAAACGACATTATGAATTAATATTTGATTATTCACATATTTTAATTTGAAACCATTATCTAAGGTTCCATGATCATATAGGAGTTACAAATTGTATACTCGATGGTTCGAGTATAGTGAAACACAATTTGTGACGTGATTTGTCTAGATTTAGAAATAAGAACATAATTTGTTTTTGATGCACATTGAATGAGAATGCATAGATGACATATTTGTGACCGCTCGAAATGGAACTCTACTCGATTATCAAACGAGTCACCTAAATCCTGGGTGAGTAATGTACATTTGATTATTAGTTTAAGTTCTTTGAGGTACCAATGAGTGAAGTCTTAATCAGAAGATTAATTTCGATGCTTTTGGAATCATGTCGAAACAATTAGAGATTATATAATTGCAATAGTAAAATTCGTTAATCATCATGATGAGACGATCGTCATTCAAAAGTATTTTCTATAGGCAATTGACCCTGAACTCAGTAGTCCGGCGATGAGATCGTTGGATTCTATATTGTAATTTTGCTCACAATAAATTCACCTTTTGAAAATGGAATTTTGAGGTCAAATGGGGGTTGACTTGTGGAAGGATGATCGGAGGATACTATTATCAGATCATAATTTGCTTACATAATTATCACTCAACTCGATAGTGCAATTTCGACTTTCTGGTAGAATAAGTCGGGATTGATGGATATATCTCAATTGGTTAAGAGTTGATCCAATTAAAAACATTTATTGGAGATTGAGTCTTATGAGTTCGATTAGGTTTCTGTCTTGGCTCTAATAAATTAAAGGTGCGTGACTTAATTGACCTTGAAATAGATTTGCTTCTCAAGTTGACAAAGGTGTTACGAGACTGATGCCATTTGACTTGTGCGTCCGACAAAAGGTTCATTTATTCCTCTCGTCCAAAAGAAAAAGAGTGTTTCTTTTGCTATTGAAAATAAAAAAACGTGTCCCTTCAATAATACTTTTGCCTTTGCACTAGGTAGCTTTCATTTCTTTGATCTTTAGATAAAATTTCAAAATGAGGAGGAAAATCTCTCTCGAATTATTCTTGTCTACGAAATACATTCAAAAACATATTTTATAATAATTGTACGATCATGCTAGTTAACGTGTATACATTCCATCTCTTTATTCAAAGTTTTTTCGAAAGTAGTATCGATATCCAATGAATCTAGAGACGGAGGGAAGGGGATTTTGGTGGACCCGCACCCCAAACTTTCTTAACCTTTATTTATTTTTTGTTAGTAAAAAGTTTCTAGGCCCAATTCTCCTCCTCATCATATCCAAACCACTTGGCCCGATAACATCACACTCAATCTAAGTATCCAACCTCACCCTTTTTATTACATTTCTCTCTAGCTTGTCGTCCCTGCCTCATTATCATGTCCAAATTTCTCCCAAATTTTTCAACTCAATCCTTAAATTTCAAAATTGAAATCCTCAATTACAGAAAAAAAACATTGCCTTGGGTAGAAGTAAGTGCAAAAAACTCGACTACGACTCTACTAGACCATCGCTCAAAATTTTTTGCTGTAACAGAATTTTGCTAATACTTCTCCCATACAAGATGTACTAATTACTGAAATGTTAAGAATAATAGTGCAATGAAAAAAATTGGAGACATAAATATTTTAAGTAAATTTGTTTTCTTGATTAACTTTGTTGAAATAACTCACTCTCTCTCTCTCTCTTCTCTCTCTCTCTCTCTCTCTCTCTCAACCTAAAGGGTATTTCAATGTAGCCAAGAGTAATATTCATTTATATTGGTTATGAGGATTTATGCATGCAAATTCATTACAAGATGGACAAATCGAGGTTATAAGTCACATTTACTCAACAATGCGAAACTTACGAAGATAAGATGTCTCGGTTTACGAATATCAAATACTTGGACTAAATTAATACCCTTCTAGTACAGTTTTCAACATTGTCATCATTTTTTTATTAACAATTATTTACACTAAATTAACATACAGTCCATGTTTGACACACATTCTTTAAAATTACATTTATTTAAAACTCATTTTCAACCACACATTTTTCAATAAAATAATATTTTCCGTCACATCAATAACTTTTCTTTACTTTTTAACCACACATTTCTCATCATATCACTATTTAAAATACATTTTCTCCTCAATAATATCCATCAAACATACCCACAATATAATTAAGTGAGGTTGAAGAAGCATTTTAATGGTGGAACTTTAAAGGTTGAAGATGAACAATTCATCTAGTCAACAAGTGGGATTCCTTTTCAGCTTTGAAAGGTCAAGATTCTCCCCAAATGTCTTAAAAAGATTATTTAAAAAAAAAAAAACTCAAAAATTAGGTTAAAGGCCGACAAATAGAACAATGAACGTGATTAGTAGTTCTTTATTTTATTATCGCAGGAACTTTTCAATAAAGTTTTTGTTTGCTAAAAAACTGATCAAATTCTGGTTCAAATTTGAAAAAGAAAAACTTTACAAAACAAGCGTGAACCATCACGAGAAGGTCTCAAGAGGACACCGATATTTTGTATGGTATTTGACACGAGGCTTATGATACAAACAATGTCACTTGAAGGAGAACTTCGAGATAGAGTTGACGAAGAAGATAAAGATGCTTTATAATTAGAGTTATAGAGACTAGATTATAATGCAGATTCGATATATTGAAATAACAAAAATAAAATATAGTTGATATTAAAGAGGTGAGCAATATTACGTATAACGTGCTTATGCAACGTCTTCAACAAGGTATACTTGGAGCGGGTACTCTCAGATATTTCTTAATTTCGAGAAACATCATATATACTATTGAACTCTATATTACAACTATTACTAAATTAAACTTAGACGTACGGATTTTCTACTTAGTTTGGAGAATTAGTGCCCTTTTTGCATAGTTCATACCTTTCAAGCTTGAGTCATGCTCCAATAATGAACTCATCATAGCGGCTAACTCCATATAACACATTTTTGGGGCGGGGGATAGGGTTTACAGCGCTAAGAAACTTGTTAAAATAAGTAGTCCAAACTCTTATATAATATTTTTTTAATTTCATATTTAATTGTGTATGACTTCATTGTTAACGAAATCATGGTTTCATATATCATAGTAAATATATAAATTTTTGTAAAGATTCCTTGCTACGATAAAATTATAGAACATATTTTAACAAAAAAATTACCTACATGACTTTCACCTTCAAAATTTTTGTCGTAAATTTTTCTTTTCTGATATCTTCTTTTATAATAATGTAATAATAGAACGAACAAATAATCAGAATCAAGTAAATGTCGATCTTCCACTTTATTTTGGATTCATGTCTCTCTATTTCAAAAAGGAAGTTCGTCTTAAAAATGCAACAACTTGTTCGTCCAATATTGGTTAGGTGGTGATTTTTATAACCTATATACTATATAATTGAATTTCCTTTCCTTACTTAATCAAGAATTCACATCAAATGAGCAGCTTCACGTGAATGCAACTGAAACGTCATTTTTGAAGAACATGGCAATAAGTGAAGCACAAAACAAAAATAACAGTTGTTTACTCAATTTTGGCTCTCTTTAATAAATTAGTTTTATTATTTTAAATAGAAACTCTTGAAGATTCTATTCGTGATCATTGAACAAGCAATTCTATAATAGAGAGACTTCAACGAACCTTTTGATGAGATCTGTTCTCTTCGTGTTTCGGTCTTTAGTTTTGAGTTTTTAACTCATTTAGGTTTTATGTTTTGAGTGTCAAGTTTGAGATTGCTGAAAGCGCATTTTTTTTGTCATTTTGAAAAATTGTTTTTAAAAATAAAAAAATGAAATTTTGGCTTGATTTTAACTGAAAACAGTCAAAAAGATTTTTTGGAGTTTTATGTTTTCTTTGTAAATTTTAAACTCATTTTTGGAAATTCGTTTTCTGAAAATAGGTAAGTAAACGTGTTTTCTGAGTTTTCGAAAAGTGAAAACTGAAAATGACTTAAAAACAGCAAAGAGAACGGACTTTTATTTTTTCATGTTTATATCCTTCTTCCCCCTTAGCATGTACGCTTGTCATTGGTGATAAAAATGCGACTTGCTCGTGGCTTATTAAAACCTGTTGTTTGTGAAAGAAATGGGGTAGTTTAGTTGGCAAATTCAACATTCAAGGATGGATGAAGGTTCATTGGGTTAGGATAATCATTTCAATCCTGAGAGGTAGTGACCACTCTCAAAAATCTAAAAGATGAAGCCCTATGAGTCAGTCAAACAATAGCAAGAGGGCCCTTCTAGATAATGGAAAAAAATATTATAAACTAACTTGTTTGAGCCACATTTTTTTTTCGTGAACGCAATTTGAAATAGTGATTTGATGGAAAATGTGTGATTAAAAAATAAGAAAAAGTTTTTGGTTTGCATATATTGATCCATAAATTTCATTACAAAAATATTTTTTAATTGTTTGTGGGCCCTCAAATCCACTTGTTTTTTTGCAATAGAGATGAAAAATCTTGTAAGTACGTGGTTTTCATGATTCTTGTAGCCTTTAGGAAACCTCTGATTTTGATGGTTTAAGTGCACTAAATCGATGATAAGGTTTTTTGTTTACATCATAAAAGACAAGTGGAATTTGAGCCCCACGATTGTCCCACCAAAACATTCTTAGCCGTCCAATGTGCCTATGGAAAGAAATTGCTTTTTCTTCACATCTTCCATAATTGGTGATTCTTAATCTTAAGATTAATCATACATTATGACAAAACCTTTGACGGGACGAGACAGGACGGGACGAGACAGGACGGGAAGGGACGGGGATGAAATCTGTTGTCCCGTTGTCACCCTTAGCACGACTTGATGGAGGTGGTAATTGGTTGGTTTTTTATTATTTTTGATAATAATAAAAAACATCGAACCCAAAAAATATTTGGTCGTTATTTCTCTTTATTAATTGGTTGGATCCATGCTAGAATAGAGCCTAATCACTAAAATGTTACAATTCAATTTAAAAATATTTTAAAAAGAGTAAAATATCCATCTACGATCCAAGCTATTCGTTTAGCATGTCGCTGTTAAGCCAAGTGGAATAGACATGACCTGGGTTGATGGGACCCACTTATCATCACCCACGTTTCAGACAGTGAAAATTGTACGCAAGGCCTGTCAAGTAAAGTTTATTATAGCCATTAAGGATGAAATTTGTCATTTAATTAAATCAAGAAAAAAGAAACAACCTATTAAAACTTGTATTAATGGCCATGACAAATTTTAATAATTGAAAATGATGAATTATGATTTTGCTCCACAATTATAATGGCATGGTCGGACATAAGACGAGGAAGACCAATCGTTTATTTTATTATAGTTTTAGTGTTGAGTTTAAAGTTAATAGATTTAGCGCCTCATTTTAATCTGCTTTTAATATAAGTCAAAGTCAAACAATCAATATCAACTACATCTTTCATGAGTTCCACATCTTTTCAATCCCACATTTCAAAAATTTCTATCAAAATCCACTTAAAATATGATTTTAATCTACACCCTATCAGTTCTGTAAAATTCCTATAAATAAAAAAAAAAAATTATCGAATGATCTTACAATTTGGAGGGTCCAACTTCTAAAGTTTACCTTAGGTTTCGAAAAATTTAGGTACAAGTCTATATGATACGATCGAGGTATATAATTCTTAAAATAGATATTTTTAAGTAATCTAGGTATGAGTTGAACAATACGAGATGGAAAAAATAAAAAATAGATATTTATTTTAAAATATACACGTGTCAAATTCTTAAATGTTCAAATCATGCCATTAGATACGAAAGACCTTGGTCATCCACGTGCTATTAACGTGCTTCCATCTGCGCGTGGTTCTCATTTTTCACCATCCCGTGGCCTTCGATTTTACGGTTTCGTGCTCCTCTTCAGATCCACAGGCCATTCGCCTGGTTCTTATTGCGACATTAATAAATTCCGACAAAATGAAACCTAAATTAAAATGAAATTCACACTTTAGCAACCAAACGTTATATATACAACTGTATTCTCCCAATTTTTAGTCCAAGTTAAATACACATATATTATATACTTTTTATTCTTACTGGGTAGCCGGGAAATCAAGATTCCGGCAACCCAACGATTATATACTTATTTCCTTGCTTGGGTCGTCGGGAAATCAAGATTCCGGCAACCTGAGTTGTATTACGATAAACTGTTTATAGACAATTCATTTTTTGCAATCAGGATTGGTGATTAATGGCAAAAGGTCGAAAATTTCCCACCAGTCGGAGTGAGCGGCTTTTAGGAAGTTTTGGTTACAATCAAAACCCGGAAATTGTCACCGCCGCGCCTGAGCTGGGAGAAGATGAAGTTTGGTCAATGGTGGATGACACGGCGGAGGGGGATCATGGCTCCAATGGAGACTGGAGTTCACGCTCTTCTATGGAGAGTTTTGGAAGCTTCAATAGTCGTCAGAACCACCGTAGAGATAACCTCCGCCACAACCACCGCGGCGGCGGCAGCCAAGTTGGTGGCTTGTCGTTGGCTTTTGATGATTCGACCAAAACATCATCACCTAGGATCGTCCACCAATTCCGAGGCAAGGACAACATGGCGGAATCACCGTGTGGACACCACGTTTCCGCTTCAGCCCCAGTGAACATCCCTGATTGGTCGAAGATTTATCGAGTGGACTCAGTCGACTCTCTCCACGAGTTTGACGATGGGATGGCGGACGATTCATCAGATATGATTCCACCACACGAGTATTTGGCACGGAGCCGAAAAATGGCTGCGAACTCCGTGTTTGAAGGCGTTGGCCGGACACTTAAGGGACGAGACTTGAGCCGAGTCCGTGACGCCGTGTGGAGCCAGACCGGGTTCAATGGCTAATCATGATTAAAACGAGATTTAATCGTAAATCAGGCACTAAAAAAGTTTTAATCATGGTTAATCATAATTAGTAGCCTAAAATTAGTATATAATTTTTCCCCTTACTGAGTTCGGACCAAGTGAGTTGTAATAGTCGATAAGGATCAATCCCCAAATTTTCCCGTTGTATCGTTTTATGTTAGAAGTTGGACAGTTTTTGTGTCATTCGATCACTATGGAGTATGGATACCATTAAAAATTTAAGTTCAATGGATTTAATACATATTCTAATGTGTGTAGTGCGTGAAATTCTTTGGACAACATGTCTACATTAAGTCATCGAGTGTGGCACTTAAATTAGTTCATTGGATACAAGAACAAGACAACACAAGATTTTTATTCTTAGTAATTTGAATTTAACCATATAAGTTATAGCTTATAATTTTTCATTCTATTTTTTTTTTAATGTTATGTATTATTTGTCATTGTCGTACTTGTCAAATGATTTAACGAATCCAATCCTGTCTAATTATGTATTATATGTCATCATTTCTAGAAAGACCTATTATTGTTATCGAAATGAACATTGATTCGTCCAAAGATAAAATGTTAGGTATTTTCATGTAAAAGATTTCTAATAAAACCCAATAGTTGGCGCGAGAAGGGAAGATGATCGTCTAAGTGAAACTCCATTCACGAATATTCCAAGATTATTGAACCGCAAGGTTTTACTGAATCCCTTTACTATATGAGAAATTGACCTTTTCTATAATTAGAAACTGACAATATGTTGTCTTTTGTGCATATTTTTGTGAAAATTAATTGTAACAAGATATTTCATTATACGTGATGGACTAAAAAAATAGGCATATATATAATGATATCCCTATTCAACCTGATTTTCAATGTTCATACTGAAGAGCTAATTTCGAGTTAATGCTCGTTCTCGCTCATTCTTGCTTAATTTATCGAAAATCACCCTCAAGTCAAGGAGACTTTTTCATAATTTGGAGCTCTGCGTTAGTGTGATTGACAATGACTAGGCTAGATTTGGTCATACCCAAAACAAATGAAAAGCGATTGGAGTAGGTCTCTCTTACTTGACCAGCTAGCCATGAACTAGGGAAAGGAAGACGGAAAGCAAAATCAATAGAAAAACATAGGAATTTCATAATAGAAAACCCGAATGAAATGTGATTTTTCAGGGCTTTGAATTACTAAACCACCAACGACGACAAGAGAAAGAGATTTTTTCAAGAAAGAAAAGGACGCGATAGGTTCTCGTCGAATGATGAATATAAAATGAACCACGTACAAGTAAATAAAGGTGACCAACCCAAACATTGTTTAGAATCAAGAAGCACCAAGGAGTTGAGTGGAGTAAGGAAAATCAAAAGTGATGTGGACAAATGAGCGGTGGGCCCATGTCTAAGGCATGAGCCCAAAAATTGGATAACCCAAATGGTTTGATTGGTGGATGATATATGAAGTAGGCCCAGAGAGTTGCAAGTGGATTGATTCTATAGATAGGTGTTTTGAATACTGAAACAACATAGTGAGGAGTAGATACCTTCTGGCCCACTTTTCCAAGAAAGTGACACTTATCAAGTGGTGTCAACTAGTGCCTAAGAAGTCGTAGAGAAAATTGTTCAAAAAAAGGAAATTTGAAATTTAAATATAATGGAAAAAAATTACATTTAAAAATATTATAGAACAAAAGAAATAAGATTTAGTATAAAAGATCGTATCTGAATGTATTTGAGCTCGATGCACTCGAGTTAAGATCACGAACAAAGCTTCCTATAACCTGAAATCAAGGCATGGAATGTTGATCCTGCTACATTTCCGATGCAAGTCACCTGATAGGGTATATATGTCAAGTATTTATAAAGTTTTGAGGTGTAATCATTTAAGAATCAAAACGTTGGTAGAATCTCAGACCAATGATTTAATTGTTTAGAATCCATAGTAGGTTTGAGATTTTTAATATGGTGAGATACTAGAATTGTAAAAAGACTACAATCGTGTGATAAAGTTGCAGTATGACTAATATTTTAGAATTGAGTGAGATAAGAAGGGATATGCAAAATGTGCTACAACAGAGTGGGAGGATGGGCCTCTCCTATATGATCTTGTTGGTGGCTATGTCTATAGAGGTTGAGGTACCTTGGCTCCATGCAGTAGGTTGGGGACAATGCAACATTTGAGGAGATATATACAAGGCCAGAGAAGAGAACGAAGGCTCTAAAGGCTCAATGACACTAAGTGTGGTAAGTTATCAGGCAGATATACCTATAGAGAGATCGAAATTGACAATGGAGAAATTGATCTTATCAAGTATATTACTAAATTTTTATCAGACGGAGAATATTAAATAATATTTGCACGACTTAAATCATGATTCAACATAAGTCCACGACACATTCATCCAAATGATGAATCGATCGGTTGGAGCAAGTTTTAATTGGTTTTGGAAAGTTCTGATTTAATTATGATCCCAAAATTTTGGACAAAACCGCTAAGTTCACACTGATTTTGATAACTATTCATTCAAACTTCAAGACAAAAGTGACAAACAATAAAGTGATGCAACAACAATTATTTTAAGTAAATTTAAAAGTAAACTAAATGAATTATTTTTCACCACTAACGTCATTGCCAAATCTATTGAACAAACAATTTAAGAGACTCACAAAATTTTATACATGAATTTTGAACTTAAGTTGTATATGTTAAATATGCAATTCGATTACTAATTTTTCTGAAAATGAAAAGAAATTTTTTTATCCTAACTTAAAATTTCATAGATTTATTATTTCTAAATCTTTCATTAAAAATTGTTGATATTTTGTTAAAAAAAAAATAATAAAAGTAATTCTCTTTGCATCTTAACGAGTATATAGTTCTCTATTATTTTCTTAACATTTAAGTTATTTATTTACTTAACAATTTGACTGAAAGATTATGTCTTTGTTTGGTGGGGATTAAATTCAAATTTTTAGTAAATTTTAATAAAAGTTGATAAAATGTGTTGTTGAAAAGTTGCGGGATCCTACAAAATATACGTGATTAAAATTAATTATTGACTTTCACTTAATTTGTCAAACAGGAGCTATATATACTATTTAGGGAAAATTGCAACAACGATTTCTAACCTTTCACTTTTTCGCAAATTTTACCCCGACCTTCATTTTGTGT